CTCTAAAAAGAAGAACACACCAAAATCAACATATTAACACATCAGGGCTCTGTGATCGAGGCATAGTCTGAATAGGTAAAAGAGGGGAAATAATGTTAAGAATGCTTGACTGTCTTATGGATATTGGGTTCCTTTACCTACTATTGTACTATAGATATTTGAGTGGGATCGGAAAGAATATTCTGAAACCTATCTACAGAAAACTTGTAAGTCCGTCTTAAGCCTATAATTGATGGAATGCCTAAAAGGGTCTCTAGAACTTGCATAGTGAAATATGAGCTCTTGTAGTGTATAGGACCTTAGGGAGAATCCTGACCCTCATCCAGAACTTTCTGAGGTGGGACATTCCCAAATGAAAGGACATGCAGACCAACCCAGAGCAGCTAAAGGAACAGAAGATAATTCCTGAAAGAAAGACTAGCAAGAAAAAAAACAAAATGAAAAACTGCAGTCTGTTTTGCTATTATAAGAACAAACAAGCTGTTTTCCAAGGAGCCATCAAGGCAAGCAATTAAGTCCCATTACGACAAACACCACCTCCAAGACTGAAAACCAAAGGGAACGCACAGCAGGCATGTAAGCTTGCTAGAGACTGGGTTGGTCTTCATTAGAGTGGAAGTGGGGGAAAGTCAGTAATGAAGCTATGGGCTGAGTTCAACTATGTTTCATAGACTCCTGTTTATCTCATGATGAGAGAGAGAAGAGGAAAGGATGGTTGATCTGAAGGTTGGGAAGACTTGGAAAGTCCTGAGACCATGGACATTAACCTAGCCATGGAGGGCTATAGCTGAGAGTGAAGTGTCCATATGATATGAAGTAGCATGGGGTGGGGGTGGGGCTAAGATGCACAGGAAGGCCCAACTTGCAGATAGTATGCATTTGACCTAGCTTTGATGGCTTAATGACCAGATCTCAACTAGAGGAAAGTAAAGAAATTTGTTAAAGTAAGCAAGTGTAAATTGCTACAGTTTGATGAAACTGACCTACACTTATGGATGTAGTAGCTCAAAACACCAACTGAGAGGGAAAGAGTCTTCATATCAAGTATCAATCCTATCCCCCCTGTATACAGGGTTGATAGGGACAGGCAACATAGACATTGGCTACCTAAAAGGGGAGGTGGGGGCTAGGGGGTGGCTATAAAGGCACAAAGTGACTGGCTTACAAATTTTTAAGAGGGAGTTTAATTTAAGAGTGTGTGAGGGATGGGAGAGTGCCCACTGAACAGTTTTCGTCTTGTCTGGTGGAAGGAGATGGAGATGATTTTTATGATTCAATAGTGAGTAATTGTTATCACTACTAATTGTGATTGTCACAACTGTAAAGTTAGAAAGTGTTTAACAAAAAGGAGGAAGTAGTTAACCTTACAGTCCAGGAACAGCAGACCTTAGGACCCTCAAGAGAGAAGAGCACTAGTAAAATGTGGGACCCTAACCAGAGAAGCAGTGATTCCAGAGATGGAAGCAGAGATGAGGCCATCTAGAGATGGAGTAGCTGAGGACTCTAGACTCATGGAAAGAGAAAGGCTGTATGCTGGCAACCAGGATGCAGGCTTGCAGAATGTGTCTTTGGTTGTTTAAATGATTGTATATTCCTGAGTGTTTTGTGGACATCTACCCTGCCCCCCAAAATAAAACAAAAAACAAAAACACAGGGAATAGGAAAAAAAAAAAAAAAAAAAAAAAGCACAAAAACAATGAACTGACAGAGGTTCAGGCTGAATTCAGACGAAGATGTAGAATGATGGATATAATTGGTTGCATCAGATGGATTTTGTCTGAAAGCAGAGAATACCAGAAAGAAGCTTGCCTGTGCTTTATTCATTACACAAAGGCTTTTGACTGTGTGGATCATGACAAGCTGTAGGTAACATTTCGGAGAATGAGTATTCTGGAACATTTATTTGTGTTTATGAGGAACCTGTACATAGACCAAGACACAGGTGTTTGAACAGATAAAGGACACCCTAAATGGTTTAAAATTAGGAAAGGTGTACACTAGAGTTTTATTCGTTCACCATAGTTATTCAATCTGTATGCTGAACAAATAATCTGAGAAACTGGATTATATGAAGAAAAATGTGGCATCAGAGTTGGAGGAAGACTCATTTACAACTTGTAATATACGGATGATACAACCTTGCTTGCTAAAAGCAAAAAGAACTTAAAACACTTACTGATGAAGATCAAAGACCATTGCCTTCAGTATGGTCTATACCTCAATATAAGGAAAACAAAAGTCCTCACCATTGGCCTAATAAATAGCATCCATATAAATATAGAAAAGATTGAAGATGTCAAAGACTTCATTTTTAATATCAACAATCTACTCATGGAAGCAGCAGTCAAGAAATCAAATGATGTATTGCATTAGGCAAATCTGCTGCCCAAGACTTATTTAAAGTGTTTAAGAGCAAAGATGTTATTTTGGGGTCTAAGGTTCACCTTACCCAAGAGATAGTATTTTCAACAACCTCATATGCATGCAAAAGCCAATGAATACAGTAGACTGTAGAAGAATTGATGAATCTGATTTATGGTATTGGAGAACATTTAAAGTACTTTGGAATGTAAAAATAAACAAACCTGGTAGCGTAGTGGTTACGAATCGGGCTGCGAACCTAAAGGTCAGCGGTTCGAAACTACCAGCTGCTCCGCGGGAGAAAGATGAGGCTTTC